GCGACTTTTCCCACTGAGGTCCTCAGAGATGGCGGTGGTTAAAAACATAGAAGTAGTGAGCTCCCCATCAATGCAAACACGGGAAGTGTTTCAAATAATGTTCATGGGTGGCTACTTCACATCAAGCTCTGAACTGGGCTCTAGGGACACAAAGTGGATGCAACCCAGTCATGCTCTTGGCAAGCCCTGGCAGGTCGAGAGTGCGCAGTTATGACGGAAGGAGGGAGGTGCTGAGAGTGGCAACCAGAGCAAAGCTCCAGGAGCAGAGCAGAGCTGTGCCTCCTAGAAAAGGTCCAGAGGCCTCACAGAGGAGGGGTTGCTTGAGCAGTCTGCAGGATGAAGGGAAGGGCGTGTCAGGCCGAGGGAGCACGGCCAGCATGTTCTTGGGTGAGGGGAGTGCAGAGTGTCTGAGACCTAAGAGAAGGGGGGAGCTGGACCCAGGAGCCAGATAAGCTGACCAGCTTTCTCCCCAGGCAACAAGCTGGCCTGACCCAGATACCCCGCCTTGGGTCTGGGAACTTGCCAGCCCCACCACCTCCCTTCCACAGCTCAGACAGGGACTGCAGGGAAGAGACAGGTCCTGGCCCTGCGCAGGCACAGCTGGCTCAGCACAGGACTGAACAGGGGCGGGCAGGACAGGGACCGGGAGGGCTGTGGTGCCAGCATGCCTGCAGGCCAAGCCGCCTGCCCCTCCTAGCACTGGGCCTTTCCCAACACAGCCAGACCCAGCCTGGGGGCTCTGACCAAAGCATCCTCAGGCTGGTAGAGGGGCAGCAGGAAGCTTGGCTGCTGAATAATTGAAAGGAAGGCTTTCAGGGTTTCTCCCTCCCCCCTGCAGTGTCTTCTAGAGGGTTGGGTAACAAACAGCAGTGCCAGCGCCTCCTGAGAGACTCCAAGGAGGCTGGGAGGAAGCTCACGCTGCTAACCCTCTCACTGCCAGCCTGGGCCTGCCCAGTGCCTTCCTCCCAGGCTGCCACTGCAGCCACTACAGTGTGGTCTTACCAGTGAACACTGGTCTGTAACAGCCTGTGTGGGTGTCTGTAGAAAGTGATCTTTTGTACCTACTAGCCTTCGTGAGTTGGTACTGATTTGGAACGGACAATAGCTTCCTGATCTGTTCTGATTTATGCTGATCTATAATTCTTACCGGTCAACTCAACTCACACCTGTGGTGGTTTAGCCTGGTTGGCATGCTTATGGGTAACACTAACAGCTAACACTTATGCATAGAACTTTCAACCACTGTACGTATGTTAATTCCTTTACCCCTCAGGACACTAAACAGGTTAAGTCACTTAAAGGCATGCAGGAAGTGTGCCACTTGCTAATCTGCCTTGGGTCTGTCTTGGATAAGGTGCACCAGTTTTCTCTCCAAAGACCAGTGGCCTCCAAAATTGAAGGCAGCAGACAGCAGAACTCTCTAGCTCAAATGCCATTTCTGGCTCCCTATTGCTTACAGGGTACGGTCCTGCCTCCTCAGCCTGACCCCCAGGCTCCTCCTTGTGCCCTGTGCTCAGCTATGTACAACCCACACTCTTTTCTCTTTCCTCTCCAGAGCCTTCCTCCCACACACACCCACACTCTGCCAGTAATCCATCCTCCCCTCTTTGTCCCACTAGCCCCTACTTATGCTTCAAGATGCTTCCTCCAAGAAGACCTCCCAGTATGCTTCTCCCCACACACACCCTGGCTTGGTTGATGTCTCTGCCACATGTCCCCCACCCAGCACTTAATCTGCTACATCGTTGGTGTCAGTGCTTCTTTCCCTGCAGCTCTCTTATTCTCTGGTGAGCCCCAGAGTGGCCACTCCCTGAACAGCTGTGACATGAATGAGTGACTTGTCCCAGGACCTGAAGGGCTGCGTCCCAGTCCTTTGGCCCTTACACCCCAGCCCCACCTCCTTGGGCAGGGAACTCAGGGAGGGCTTCTAGTTTGTTCTAGCCACTGCCTGGTTACCTTTGCCCTCTCCCTATGCTCATGCTCAGAAACTCAAGGTCTGGAGAAGGGTACCCACCAGGAAGGGAGGCATGACAAGAGCCCCCTCTGCCTAATGCTCTGAGGCTATGTAAGTGATGTGGGTGCAACCCGGTTCAGCACCAGGAATTGAGGTGGTAGGACACATTCAGATTTCTTGGATAAAGAAGGAGAAAATATTGCTTGGCCACAACCGAGGTAGTTTTTTCTTTTCCAGCTGGATAAAATATCTTGTAGTGTGACATAAGCATTGTTGTCACACCCTCATTTTTACAAAGAGCCAGACTTAGTTTCACAACCTAACTACCTGGTTTCATGTGTGTTTGTCACTTCTATCACATTTCTAATAGTCGCCAAGAACTTTCCCCCCCCAAGAAACTCAGGAGGCAGGCCCCTCCCCACCCCTTGCCCCACACTGGGCTTTTTCTGTGCAAGGACTTACCATGTGTCCACAGCCCCCACCTACATAGGAAGGCAGCTTCCCATTACACGTCTCCTTAGGCCCTGGCCCTGCTAGCCCCAGGGCCCTGGACCCTGCCCTGTGCTGCCCTCAGTCTATGCTGTTGCCTGCCTGGACTCTCCTTCCTTACATTGAGAAGACTCAGCTTTCAAAGAGTCAACTCACACACCATTGTCTTTGTGAAGCCTTCCCTCACCATCCCAGGCAAACGTCTCTTTTTTGCTCCCCTAACCTGGAGCGGGGAGCGTGGGAGGGGAAAATCAGAATGAGATAGGGAGTATTGTCTCCATTTTACAGATGAGAAAACTGAGGCTTTCTCAGGCAAAGGTAGAGCATCAAGTTCAAGTATTCTGTCTCCAAATTCAGTGCTCTGGTCCATTTCCCCCCCCTTTCCTGGGTTAGAGCAAAACAGCAGAAAGATCTAAGTGGCAAGATGGTTATATTGTGTGTGATCACAGATGTTTACTGGGAGTGCTTACTTGAAGCTGTAGGAACTTGTGCCTTTGAGGCCCTGAGTCCTGGCATTATCACTGGGAAGGAGGTCTCTGACAGGCAAGGCAGGGAAAAGAGCCCCCAGACAAATGGGCCTTGTCCCCTGGGCAAGAGAGGCTTCTTAGCCCTAGAGCAAAGGGAGTCCAGGGTTGGCATCATGGGTGCTGCCCATGGTGCCAGAAGTTGATGCCTGGGAAGTGAGATGGGGAAGAGAAGGAGATTTCTGAGGCCAGCAGAGGTTAAGGGGGAAAGTGGCCCAGGCCACCCCAGACGGCTTGGCTTTCCGAATGATTCCTACCCCCTGCTCTAGCCCCTCCTCCCTCCACAATCAACAAACTCATTCACTCTCAGTGAACTCTAGTTGCATAAGACAATTCCCAAGTCAGTCCCAAAGCTCAGCCTCCTGAGTGCCAGACCCATGGTTCAAAGCTTCCTGGACATTTTCATCTGGATGTCTAGGGCCTCCTCATACCCCCATATGGCCAAGACAGTGCGGTCACCACTGCCAACTAATTCTTATGCCCACAGCTACCATTGTATGATTGCATTTGCATGCCAGAGGATTTAGGATGGGAAGCTAGCAGAGCTTAGGGTGAAGAGGTTAGAACAGCTATGTAGTCTGTAAACCCCATAAAACCCTTCTCTTCAGAAGTGTCTGAATGATGCTCCCAGGTAGCAGTGGGGGTAAGAGGCTCAGAGAGAGGGCAGTGACACCCTGAGGGTCACACAGCAAGGACTGAAAGCTCCAGCCCAGAAGCCAGGGATTTGAGGTTTGGGGGAATGGACATATGAGAAAAGTTTATGTTCTGATCATCACTATTACCTCCTGTAGCTGCAGAGACTGGGAGGCGGGGGCGGGAGTGGGGGGAGTTGCTGAGAGCTTTAGAGACTCTGAAGGGAATGAGTGACACTCCCATCTCTATCACTCTCAAGTCAGTGAGGTAACTGTGTGTTGGGGGGCTGTGTGGCAAGGAAGGACCCTCCGGATGTCCAGACATACCCAAACTCTTATTTTCTTCCCACCACCCTCTGCCCCTTCTTCCCTCCCTTCCTGTTCCCTGGGAAGGAGGCCTCCCTGTTGCTTAGCAACTAGCAGAGCCTTGGAGAAAGGAAATGGAAATAGCTCAGGAGGTGCCTCCCCTCTGCTAAGATAGGTCCTTAGTGTGTGTGTGTGTGTGTGTGTGTGTGTGTGTGTGTGTGCGTGCATGCACACACATGTGCATGCATATGCTTTACTTTGGGCCTAGCATGGAGCCAGGGTTCTTACCTCCAAAGCCACCCTGCCTAGAGCCTATAGGAGGAGGTGGCTGCCTGGGAAGCTTATGTCAGTGCTACTTTTGGGCACATCCTCAGAAGCAGTGTTTCCAGAACAAAGGAGGGGACAGTCCTGCAGGCTTCAATCTGGGTCAGGCCTCCACCTGGAATGTTGGCTTTGAGAAATTATCTAGATAAAAGATGCAGATAAAAAACTGTATCTGTGGTGGGAATGCAATTGAGACTGGAGAAGGCTCCACTTTCCCAACCTACAGGGCTGTCCTGAGAACAGACTGGGAGGTGGGAGCATATGTGGTCTGGGATCCCACCTGCCAGTCAGACAAGGGTCGTTTTGGGGAGGAAGGTGTGCTCAAAACTGAGCCTGAAGGAAGGAAAAACAAGAATAAGACTAACAAATTTTCCCAGAGAAGGTTTGGTTGCCTGGGGGGTTGCAAGCAGGTGTGCCTGCAGGGGCTAGAGGGTCAGGCCATGAAAAGCCACCAGACAGAATGGGATGCTTCGGTAGTGACTAACTCTGGAGGTGACACAGCTCCAATCCAAGGGCCCTAGAGTCCATCTTGCCTGGCAGCATCCACCCACCTTTTAGTTGGGGAAAGCCCAGTGTCCAAACCCCTTCATGCCCTGAGGTGTGGCCCAAAGGCAAACTTGCCTTACCCTCCGCTCCCCTCTGCTGCCTGAGGGGAAGCGGATCAGCGCCATGAGTGGGCCTTTTAATCTCCAGGATTAACCTGCGCAGAGAGGGATTTAGCAGGTGGCTGAGAAGTTACCATCCCGCCTCATTCCTGTGTCTGTCCTGTAGGGCCCAGTCCAGCAGCTTCAGGGCCATCCGCTATGTCCTCCACCGTGAACAACGGGGCAGCCAGCATGCCGTCCCCACCCGACGCGGCCAATGGCTTCCCGCAGCCGGGTGCCTCCTCCGGAGCCTGGCCACGGACCGAGGAGGAGCTGCGCGCCGCGGAACCGGCCTTGGTGAAACGCGCTCACCGCGAGATCCTGGACCATGAGCGCAAGCGGCGTGTGGAGCTCAAGTGCATGGAGCTGCAGGAGATGATGGAGGAGCAGGGGTGAGCTGGGCCGTGGGGTGGGACTCCGGCTCCAGGACGGGGCCAAAAGATGGGGCCAGGGCTCAGACCAAGGTGGGGAGCAGTGCGAACTTGGGGAACCAGGAGTCTGGGTCCAGCTAGATGCCTGAGTCTGAACCAGTGGAAGTGAAACCATTGCAAGCCCAGGGGAATCTTCATTCACTCATTAACTTATTCAACCAATGAGCTGCCTCTGAGCCCTTGGTCTGTGTCAAGCTCAGAACTGGGTTCAGATTCACAGAAGTCAAGGAGAAAGAGTCTGCGCCTTCCAGAAACATCCAGTCTAGTGGGGGAGAGAGGCACGAAAACGTCAATGATAACTTAAGGCCTCAGTTTCCCCTTCTATAAAATGGGTGGATCAGTGCTAAAACCAGACAAGAAAATGCAGCTGGTCTTTACCATGGTCGCTGGCTGCTTGTGGTTTCAACAAAGCCTGGCCTGCAGCCACACCTGCAAGCTTCAGTTCCACACGTCTAGTTCAGAACCTGTCACGGAGGCACACAGGTGTGTGCCAGGCACAGATTGGAGTGCTTCCTCAAAGACCACTTCCCACCTCCACACCCCTTTCCCATCTCAGAAGGAAAACAAAGTTCACAACCAAAACAAATGAGAATCACAGCTATAAGACAGGACAGGAGAGGATCAAGTGCTTCAGGAGTTCAGAGGAGAGAAAACATCTGAATGGGTCTTGAGGGGTGAATAGGAGATTGTCAGTTTGTCAAGCTGTCATTGTGCAATGATCAGTAAGTAGGATTTAGGAACCTCCCTCACAGGTCCAGTGGAGACAAGGCAGCCTACACCGAGGCAGAGGCAAAGAAGCAGAAAACAAAACCACCCCCATTTTTGTGCAACTTGGAGGAAAGCTGATGGGTCCACGGCTCCCTTTTGCATCTGCCCTGAATCCTTCAAAATTAGTGGGCTGGCAATTGAGGGAGTTAAAGTGGGGAGCCCATTAGACTTGTGCTGTCAGTGAGCAGAGAAGTCAGAAAGGCCCCCAGAACTAGATGGGGATAGGCAGCTTATGCAACAGTCCTTCCCATCCACAACGTTGTCTGTCCATCCAGGCCTCCTGGGCAACTCAGAGCTAGCCGAGATATAGTTCACCATCTCTCTGGAGCCCAGGAAGACACTGACACTCAGGTCATCTGGAAGGGGGCTGGGAGACCCAAGATCCCTGGTAGGGTGCTCATCAGGGTCCCTTGTAAGAAAAAGAAAAGAGTACAGGGACCTGGTGCTCACCTCCAGCTGGGGTGAATGCCCCCACGGGGTGTCCCTGTGGCAAAGAATGGCTGGATGGAAGGCTGCTGAAGACAGACAAAGGGAGGCCTCCAGCTGGCGGTGAGAACAGGTTTGATGAGCTGGGGCTGTGGGCAGAGGAAATGAGATCCCAAGGGGCAGGGTTGAGTGGGGACTGGGAAGTGGAGTACCCTCTGCAGAGAGAGCCCAGGGACCTTAATTAAACCTGCAAATCTTGCTGAGTTGGGAGACTCCAAGAGTGAAGGGCGTGTGGGCAGGTGGGTGTGGCTAGAGAACAAGAGGGATGACTGGGACAGAGGAGGGCCAGCCTTCTGCACTTTATTCTTGGCAGCCACCCCCATCCTCTCAAAAAGCCCCACTCCTCTCGCTAACCCACTCCTCTCTACTGAGTCTTTCCATCCTGGAAGTCCTTCCCCTCTAAGAGCCTCATCCTTTCAAGGAACCCCTAAGGTTGCCCCCTCATGGCTCCCCCTCTCCAAACCTCCAACCCCCTAGCTGAATCTCCTCCCTGCCCCCCACCCCCACCCCGAGTCTCCAGTCCCTCACTGCACTGGGAAGGGTCCCATCAGATAAGAGGCAGACTAAGACAGAGGGTCGTGGCATGTGGCCATGACCTTGGCCCTAAGGCCCATGCTGTCTGGGAGCAAGCACTTGATCTCTAGATGTTCACTCAGGGCCCTTCCCCAAACTAAGCCCTCAGTGAGGTGGTCCCCAGGCTGCAGTCTCCCATGAGTTATCATCGCCACTCCCATCCCTTATGCCACAGCCACTCTGAAAACCAATAATCCAGGCTGCCATCCCAGGCCTGTGACCTTGGCAAGCCAGAGTCACTCACCTATAGCATAGGAACCCCTGTCTTCCGGAGTGTTCTGAGGGAACCAAGGCACATACAGGGCTCCCCCACCCACTGCCAGTCCCCAGAAATTACTCCATAGACACTAGGGACCCTTGCTCTGTTATAAAATCCAGTCATTAATATCCATTTCTAGAAACACTGGTTCATTCACATTTATTTACCAAGCATTTGACAAATATTCCCACTAGTAACAGCAACACACATTCTTTGGCCCCATTAAAAAGCAATCCCTTCCTTAATATTGATGGATGGTGGCTAATTCACTGGTGATTGATGCAGTATTGGAGTCACCTTCCTGGGCAGCCTCTGCAGGCAGCCTGCAATCACCGGGAGCCAGGCTGGAGCCCCCAGGCTGCACTGTAAAGCTGGACAGCTTCCACCCCAGCGCTGGGGCCCCTCAGCTTATAGCTTCAAACTCTCCCCTCTCCCTGTTCTTTTTCCTCATCTGTGAAATGGGAATAATAAGGCCACTGCCCACCTCTCCCTCAGAGCTGTAGTGAAGATCAAATTAATGACCAAGGAAGTAAATTATCTAGGAAGCACTGGGTCTGGGGGGGGGGAGGGGGGCCAAGGACAGGCAGAATGAAACAATTCCCACTCTGGGGACCTCTTTTAAAATGCAGTGTCGGGCCTCCCCGGTGGCACAGCGGTTGAGCGCTGGGTTGCGAAGATGCCCGCGGCCTCTGCGGCGCCGGTTCGATCCCCGGCTGCTTCCCAGCCACTGGAGGAGGGTCCCGCATGGCGCGCAGACCTCTCCTGCCGCCCGCTGCTCCCCTCAGCAGTGTACTTCAGTCCTTCTGCCTGTTCTGCTCCCCGCTCTGGCTCTGGTGAATTCTCTCACCCTCCCGCGCTTCTGACTGTACCCAGTGCATGTATAAACAAAACAAAGAAAGAAAGAAAGAAAGAAAGAAAACATGCCTCTATAAAAAAAAAATATATATATAAAAAAAAAAATAAATAAAATGCAGTGTCCCCTCACCCCACCCTAACACCAGAGGGTGAACTATGGAGTCCCCAAAGCAGCAACGCATCTGGCATTTGGCATGTCCTTCCTTCGTGGCCTATAGAGTGAAGCAGGGACAGAAGGAGCTAGACTGGCTGGGGCAGCATTTAAGCAGGAAGCTGGGGCCCTGAGACAGATGTCATTGCCCTCCCCACTGCCCCTTCTCCGGCCAAGTCCTTGACTTTGAAAGCCCGGCCTCCTGCATGGCCTTGAGTTGGCAGTGCTGCCACCTCTGCAGGGAGTGGCTGGCTTGGATCCTAGCCCCCCTCTCCGTCTCAGCCTTGCTCTCCTAGGAGAGCAGGGAGTAAAGACCCAAGTAGACTCCCCATTTGGTAGTATGATGACCTGCCAGAGGTCTGGGGTGCAGAAAAGCAGGGAGCCTGGGATGACTAGATCCTCTGTCCCCACTGCTCAGGGACAAATAATCACCAGTCACTACCATTATGGAGCACCTACTGTGTGCCAGGCACTGTGCATATTGCGTTAGATGAGCATCTCCTTTAATCTAGGACAATCCCATTTCACAGGTCCAGAGGCTAAAGCCAATAGAAGTGCATGGACTTGTCCAGTCACAGAGCTAGAAGGTGGAGGAGGGTGCCGGTATTCAAAACCAGACTGCCTCCCTCTCCCGCTTCTCCCTTAATCACTGCCCCACGTGACCACAGCTGAGCGAGCTGACCTCAGGAGGTCACTGGGGAGACCAGGAGGTGGTGGTTGCCCTTGAGACCCATGTGCCCAATAACTGAATGCCAGCCCTGGGCTCCTAGTCCCTTGCAGCCAAGGCCAAATGTCTAAGCCTGAAGCTAAACAGGGATTGAGGTAGACACTGACTAGTCAGGGCCCAGAGTTTGGCAACACTTGTTTAGAGGTGTCAGTACACACACACACACACTCACACCCTCACACACACACTGCATTACTGCACTGGGGGTGGGGATCAGAAGAAATGGATCCTCGCTCTGCCAGGCAGGACTTGGTCCTCCCTGTGATGGGTCTCATGGACACCCGAACCTGCGAGCCAGGAGACCCTAGCTGGGTGAGGATCAGGGGGCACGAGTTAAAAGTAGGTAGTGCTCCTTATTTAACCCCCAATATAGTCAGTCAGGTCCCCAGCCCCAGCCATCCTTCCCACTGGATGGTTTTTTGTTCACTGTCTCCCCTGCATCGTCAGGCCCATTTTCTAGCTGTGACCTCACCACCTCCTGCAGGAGCCCAAGGCCAGCGCCAGGCCCCTCCTCCAGCCACACAGCTGCCAGCGCCGTCCTTCCAAAATGAAAATCCAACCTTCAAACTCTCCAATGCCTCTCCATCACCAATTACTCATTTATCAAAAATTGTTGGATACAACATGTGGCAGGCAAGGTGCCAGGTGCTGGAGACATGCTGGCAATCCAGACAGACAAGGCCCCTGCCCTCAGGGAACTCCCAGCCCGCACAGGGTGCAGAAGACCCAACAGATAATGACTAGCGCAGGAACCACCTGCCAGCCTCTGGAGGTGCACGTTGCCATGGAAACACAAGTGTTGGCACATAACCTGGTGGTGTGGCTATCTCTTCTGCTGTAAACACCCCTGTGAGTCAAGTCCTGTGCTCAGCATGATTATCTCTACAGGGCAAACCTGGAAGTTAATTTGGTTGTGTTTACTTTGCTTAGAAAAGAATTACCAAATTGCTCTCCAAAAAGACTGGGTCAGTGGGCAAATGCTTGTGGAGGGAGATGAGGAAAGGAGCGAGGAGAGAGGAGGGAGGAGAGGAGAGGGTCCCTGAGAGGGAACGAGGTAGCACTTTCATGGACAGGCTGAGTGGAGGGCTGGGTCCACGGTGTGCACAGAGAATGGACGAGGAACAGATGGCAGAAGCAAGACGGGACCCCGGTTACTATTTTGCTACCACACTTTCTGTCCAGGACAATAACCTGCAACCCAGGAAGGAGAGGAAGAGGGCCTGGGACCCCAAGATTCATTCAGCAAAAGCCACAGGACACCTGCTGTGTGCCTGCCATTAGAGCAAGGGGCATGGGGAGCAGCGACCCTCCAGTGAGCGGGCAGCATGGATAGGGCCTGGAGGGAGGCCTGGGCAGCAGCTTGGGGTGCAGTGAGAGACAATGACCAGTGACCCCAAGGTGTGAGAACAGGAAGGAGGAGTGGATAATTCTGCACTTTGATCCCTAGCCTGAGGCTGGGCTCAAGGAGGGAAGCAGAGAGAAGTAGAGAAGTCAAGGGCTTCCATTCAAGGCCCAGTTTTCCTCTACCCACCCCAACCCTAAGCCCCAGGAAGAGGGAAGCAAAGGATCTACCACTGGGATCCCAGGCATGCCCCTTAGAAGTCTTGATCTTGCAGAAGTGGGGATACATTGCGCACCTCCCAAGGCTGTTGTGAGGATCAGATGACCATGAGGCCAGGAAAGCAGAAAAGGCCACAGAGGTGTCACAGCCTGATTCTCACTTCCTAAAATGCATCCAGGGAATGACTGCAGCCTGGCTATGAGGGAGGCTGCCCTGGGGATGGAGGGATGTGCAGCTTCACCAGGTGGCCTGTCCACCTCTGGGAACAACTCTTCCTTTTGTTTATCTGGTTGGTTGGTTATTTGGTTGGTTGGCTGGCTTGGTGCAAAATGGATAAGCCTCCAGCTCTCCCAGCGCTGAGAGCCTTGCTTGGTGGTATGACTCGGACAACTCGTTGCAAGCTGTGCACTTGGGGCTGTGGCTGGGGGAATGACCTGGGTGGAGGGGATGGGTAGAGAGGGAATCAAAGCCAAGAGAGCATCACTTACCCCTTTGGTGCCCCCGCTTCCTGCAGGTACTCGGAGGAAGAGACCCGGCAGAAGGTCAGGACGTTCCGGCAAATGCTGATGGAGAAGGAGGGGATGCTCACCAGGGAGGACCGGCCTGGGGGCCACATGTGAGTGTTGGCCTGCGTGGGGGCAGAGGAGTTGGGGTGTGGGCTCAGGCAGCAGCTAGGTGCCAAAGGGGTCTTTCCAAGTGTTCCTCAGGCAGTTGGGGCTGGGGGCTCAAAGAGAGGTTTGAGGGAGAGAAGGAAGAGGAGAGGCCATGGGCCTCTCCATTGGAAGCTCTGGTCTGGCAGAGGGAACAAGGCAGGGTGCCGGGCACCAGGCTATCACCAAGGGTTTCCGCCTGCACCCTGATTCTATCTAAGGCTCAGCAGTGGGGGAAACGGGGCAGCCCAGATATCGGCTCAGGGATTCCTGGGCACACATCAAGAAACTTCAGAAATGTTCTGACAGAGATGTCACAGAGTTGCCACAGAGTTTCACTGGTGGACAGTGTGACTGCAGGGTAGTCTCTCTGCACCTTACAGCCAGTAAAATGCTCCTGCTCATTTTTTTTTTTTGAAAGATATATTTAATTATTTATACAAGTACTGGGTACAGTCAGAAGCGCGGGAGGGTGAGAGAATTCACCAGAGCCAGAGCAGGGAACAGAACAGACAGAACGACGAAATACACTGCTGAGGGGAGTAGTGGGTGTGGCAGGAGAGGTCTGCGCGCCATGGGGGACCCTTTCCTGCGGCCGGGATCGAACCGGTGCTGCAGAGGCTGCGGGCAGCTTTGCAGCCCAGCTCTCCACCGCTGCGCCACCAGGGGAGACCCAATGCTCCTGTTCATTTAATTCCCATCCTTCCTCAACCCTGCTTTCTCCTCTGCTACCGTTCCACATTTTTCTCTCCTTCCTCAACCAAATTTCCATAGAGTGTGTGACAGTCATTGTCTCCTTCCTTAAGCCGTGGGGCTCTAGCTTCTGCGCTGTTGTTACCTGCATGGCTGTGGGCACCCAGGTCCTCCTCGCCATGGTCATTCTTGTCTTCAAACCTGGCCTCTCTCAGGCACGTGCCCACTTTGGATGCCTACATTCCCCCCAGCTTCCAGGATGTGGTTCTCCCGTGAGTTTCCTGTTGCCTTTCTGACAGCTTCTGCTGTCTTCCTCACTCCTCTATTCTTCCCAGTGGTTGGTTCCCCTGTCCTCTGGTCTCCTCCCCATGTATGCCTGGGGCTCTCACCCATTACCCAGCTGGAACTCTCTCCTGTCAACAAATGACTCCCAAGTCTTGATCTTCCCTTTCCTTGAATGAATGAATGAATGAATGATGCATTTAAGAACTGGGGCACAGTGGGAAATCAGCTCTGTCTCCATCACGGGAAGAAATATCTTAGAGGTGTGTGCTGTGGTATGAGATGGGAGGAGAGGGAAGGAGTCAGGCCCCCTGCTCTATGGTGAAACATAAACCTGAAACCTGAAACCAGGAATTACTGGCAACCCCTGACAAGAAGGCCACTTGAGCTGTTTAGTCTTCAGGCCCTGTGTGTGTTCTGTAGGGGATGAGAGGAAATGAGGCAGAGGGGTCAAATCAGGAAGGGGTCCTTAGAAGCTGTGTCTGAAAGACCACACGGTGCGGGAGCACCCCAGCTTGGGGGGTGGGGCGGGCGGGAAGAACAGAGACTTAGCAGGGTCCTGCTGTCCCACTGGTATGAAGACAAGACCTTTATCAGTTTTGTTTCCTGCTCTACCTTGGTGCCTAGCAAAGTGATACTTGTCCGATTTCCTCTGAAGCCTCAATTTCTTCCTTTATGCAGGGAAGGGGCTGGCCAAAAGGTTTCTTCTAGCTCAGGCAGCCAAGACAGTATGAAAATAGCACTCCAGAGAGTGACTGCGGCAAGCTAAGGAGGCTGATGGCCGCCTGGATTAATCGAGTTTGGAGGAGCAGTTTGTGGTACCGAACCCAAGGCACAGGCAGAGAGGTGACCCAGGGCTGGAGACATTAATTGTGTGTCTTCCTGTGTACCCAGCATCTGACCAAATCTTCACTTCTGAGCTCAGATTGTGGGGCAGTGGAGGGAGGGTGTGGGGTTTGATGTCAGATGCCCCACCTATCCAAACCTCTAAGTCAATGTGAACTCCCTGAGCTTTGGATCCCAATTCCACCACACCCCAGCTGTGTGATGTGGGCAGGTCCTTGACTTCTCCTGACTTCTATGTCTTAACTCATAAAATGGAGATAAAATTCATAAAATGGAGACATTGAGGACATTAAGTGAGACCATCAAAGTAAGTGTGAGAAATAGTGGCAGGCACACAGCAGACATGCATCATTACCGGATGATCTCCATCACTATCTTAGCTCATACCACTTGAACAAATTGCTATAAGCTAGGTGGCTGATCAATATTAGAAATCTATATTCCTTAGCTCTGAAACTGGAAGTCCAGGATTCCAGCATGATCGGGTTCTGCTAAGAGCCCTCTTCCCCATGTCAGGCATCTACTTCCTTGTGTCCCCTCACATGGCAGGAAGAGAGCTAGTTAGCGCTCTTCTAAGGACACTAATCCCATTCATTCTGAAATACATACATCGTGTTCTCTATTTCTCATAGAACTGCTATCCGTATCTTTTTCTTTTTTCACTCTGATAGACAATCTTTAAGAATAATTATTTTCATATTATGTAATATAACAAAATGTTGGGGACAGGGAGTTTATGGAGAACCATATTCATAAGCCGCTTCCTAACACAAAGGCAGTGAGTAAATCCCAGTCTTTTTTTTCTATGCATGTAATTTTATACATAGTTTGACCTCTCTATGTCTCATTATTTTATCTATAAGTTAGGCTATTAACAATGGTACCTCCTCAGTGTCTCATTCTGAGCATTAAATGATTAAATGAAATAAACATGCAAAGTGCTTAGAATAGTATCTGGCACCCATGTTAGTAGTTACGATCATATGTGCCATGTGTGATAGTTTTCACTTGCTGTGAAAGGCTACAGAAGTCCAGGCCTGAGTCATCTCCAGTCCTACCACTGCCCCCAGGCCCTTGCTCCTGCAGGCCTGGCCACTGAGTGAATGAGTAGCGAGGGCAGACCCGATGCCTGGAATCCTTCCCTTCTTCTGTCTGGACTCTTTCATCTGTCAATTGACCATTATGCTCCTGCTAATAGGAAACAGAACCAGTTAATTAGGGAACTGCTGGCATGAGAAAGAGAGTGAGATGGGCAGTCTCCCCCATGTCGGAGCCCTGACGATAGCAGCCAGGTCAACGAGTGTCCCACTGAGGCATGCTCAACCTTGCCATGCTCTTGGCTCCTCTGCAGTGGACTCTGTTTGGACCTACTCTGATCACCTTTGTGGGGTCGGTTTGTTCTGTCATAGAGGAACAATGCCTCCCCTGCCTGTTGCACAGATGTGGTGAGAAGTTAAGTCGATAACAAACATGAGCTTAAGAACATGAACAAACTTAAGAAGATTAAACAAACCCAGATCTCACTCTCTGTGAAGTGGAGAGGGGACAGCTGTACTAACATCTGTAACTGGGAAGGCCAGCCACAGAGCGAGGGCTGTCCTAAATTTGCACATGAATTCTCAAAGACAGTTGCACAAGTGAGCTTACATCCTTTACCAACTGTAGGGGATGTTCCCTTCCTGCGCTGGGTCTCAGCTTTTTTTCATCTGTGAAATGCGGAGAGGGGTGCAAATCTCTGTATCAGGAAGTGGCTCTGAATGGGAGAGGAGATTCCTGCAGAAGGCTGTCCCCAAACCAAGCTATTTTATTTTGTTAATAACCTTCATTTTTGTGTCAGGCTAAGTGGAAGCTCCCTCCTCCCACTGGCTCCCCCACATAATGCTGGGGGTGTCCTTAAGTTCTGCTGAAGACTGTTTTATGTGTCAGACATTTGTGTGGCTGAGGACTGTGTGGGGGTGATGGGCCCTGAAGGGGTGGGGGGCTGGACAAGCCAAGGACTTGGAGATTTCAGGGCCAGAGACAGGAGCTGGGGCCAGTGCTTGCAGGAGGAGGAACAAGCAAAGAATAAGGAGGTATGATTGAAGGGATATAAGGGTGTTTGGCTGTGCAGGGGCAGGGAGAACAATGAGCCTCTCCTCTATCACCCTGGAAAACACCTCCAGTACTCCCTTGCCTGGCGCTGGGCTGCCATGCCAGTCAGTGTTTGGCTTCAAGGCTAGCACACCCTGTCAGATTTGGGTTACAAAAGCAGTATTCAAAGAGCTGATCAGTGAGTTCTCTGCTAGAGATTTCTCCCTGAAAGTTCTTTCCCTTGTAGCTGTGGCTGCCTTCCTGGCTCCGTCTGACTTTGATGTGTGGGAACTGAGAGAAAAGGTGGAACAGAAGGTGTTGGTGCGTGAGCGTCTGCCAGAGGCTCCATCTAACAAAGACAGCCAGGGGCGGACAACAGTCGAGGGCCAGACCTCATGTCATAGACAGAATCTGACTTAATCCTCTGCTCAAAGCCAGGATAGGCGTTTGCCCTGTTGTACAGATAAGGGCTGGAGACTCCGTGAGTGCAGTCATGCCTGAATTCAGGCCTGTCTGTGTGAATTCAAAGCTCATGTCATGTCCTTAATGCTCTGCTGTCCAAGCCCTGCCTCCCTCACTCTGGGCAAAGAAAGAACAAAGGAGGGGAAGGGGCCCCTAGGAGTGAGGGTAGTTCTGCTGAAGCTCCAGTCAGGAGGGGCCACTGTCTGGGTTGAAATGAACAAAGGAAGGTGGGGGTTCACCACCTGGTTATCTTAGACCAGGTCTGTGGAGGACCACTTCTAGGCAGAGTTATCACTCATGACAGGAACCAGATCACACAGTGACTCAGGGACAGTGCATGATGAGGGCTCTTCTGTAGCTTCAAAACTCAAGTCAAAGCCCAGCTGCCTCTAGGGAAAAAATCGTCACTCTACCAAGTGCCTGCAGGGAGCAAACATCTGTGGCAGAAGAAGGCTGGGCTCCTGGGCCAGGAGCAGGGGCAGGATGTGGCGGTCTCTGCTGAGCAAAGGAGAGAGCTCTGCAAGATGGATGGGAAGCAGGGCCAGCCGGCAAAGTGCTGAGGCCTTCACCGCTGCCACCGGGCAGTGATTGATGACAGCCAGTGGCAGAGAAGAGCAGGGCCTCCAGGGGGCTGCAGTGAAGGGAACTGGAGAGGCTATGAATATTTCAGACCGGCAGCCCGGGCTGAGGAAGGAGGGGCACGGGAGAGGGAGGCACTGGGAGTGGGAGGGGCTGGGGACCCGCCAGCAGGGTTACCGGCAGCCAGATATGGGGAGGGGCAGTAAGTCACCGGGGAGGGCCTCTGCCAGCAGGGGGCTCAATGAGGGACAAGGGGCTGGAGAGATGGAGTGGATCCTGGGGGTCAGAAGGGACTGCAGAACGGGACTGTGGAGTTAAAGCGGGGAGGGATTGCTAAAAGGGGCTCGAGGGATTGTTGAGGGGAGTGGGGCTCAATGAATGGAGCTGAGCTTATAAAGAGCCAGTGCAGAAGGGGTTCAGTGAGCTGAGGGGCTGCACTGAGATGCGGGGAAGGCCGGTGCTCCTTTTCCTCTTGCAAAATATGGCACTGTCGAGGCTGAGAGGTGTGTTAAAGAACCCCCCTTGCGTCACCGAATCTCCGCCTGACCCTCTAGGGGTTGGGGTGCGGCCCCCTCCCCCAGCGCCCCGCGGTGAGCGCCCCTCTCGCCCGCAGCGTGGCGGAGACCCCGCGGCTGACCGAGGGCTTGGAGCCAGGTCTGGAGTACGGGCCCTTCGACGACGACGGCCCGGTGGACTGCGACTGCCCAGCCGCCTGCTACCGCGGCCACCGGGGGTACAGGTCAGCGGCCGCCCGGCCGGCGGGGGCGGGAAGGGGCCGCGCCCTCCCTCTCACCCCAGCCCCCCACCTCGCCCCCTCTCGCCTAGGGCCAAGCACTGGTCCAGCAGCTCAGCGTCGCCCCCTCCCAAGAAGAAGAAGAAAAAGAAAGGCGGCCACCGGAGAAGCCGGTGAGCGGCGCCCGCGGAGAGGGTGGCCGGGGAGCTCGTCTCTCCAGCGCCCGAGAGCCCCGCGCCCTGCGAGCCCCTCCCCTTCACCAAGCCCCCCCTCCTCGTCCGTGGGGTGCACGGGAGCCTCTCCTGGCCCGCCCCGGCCCTCGCTCCGCCCCGCCCCGTGTGGCTGCCGGGCCCTGCTCTCGGCCCTCGGTCCCCTTCCCCGCACCCAGCAGCCCCGCACCCGCCGGCGCCCCCGGAGAGGGGCCTGGGGGAGGGACTTGGCTGGGGCTCACCTGCCTTTCCCCATCTCATGTCCCCCTGTCCCGAGTGAGACCCTGGGAAACACCAGGGTCCCCAGCTAATCCCGTCCATCTGTCCTTTCTCCCTTGACCTTCAGCAAAAAGAGGAGACTAGACTCGGAGTGCAGGTCAGTGATGGAGGCAGACAGGGCCGGGGGGCGAGGGCGTGCTATGTGCGGGTGGTGAGACTCTGGCCGTCCCCCAGCGCCAGGAGGCCTGCCCCTCAGAGCCTGGACCCTGGCATCACTAGCATCCTGTTGTCCCCACCCGGGCCAGAAGCCCAGCCCTGGGAACCTCTAGCCTTTGGGTTTAACGCAGTTCTCACAACGCCCAGGGGGCTGGGCCAAGACTGGGACTCACTTAGGCTGTTCCCGCAGGGTCTCAATTCACTGGTATAACTGTACAACGGGCAAGTGGCTATATGGCCTGGAATCCCCCTTCCAGTTCAGGCCGCCCTAGTCACTACTAGCAGCTCCTCCCCTGCCCCGGACCCCAGTTCACTAGCCTCACGCCCCTGTATCCACAGCTGTGGGAGCTCCTCACCCCTGCGCAAGAAAAAGAAGAGTGTGAAGAAGCACCGCCGAGACAGGTACCTGCTCTCCCCCGGGGCTCCCACGCACTGTGGGGCCCACGCTCAGGACTGTTGCAGCTGGTGTGCCCAGACCATCCCAAGTCACTCCAGGCGGGCTCATGAGAACCCTTTTATGGCCCTACAGGTCTGATTCTGGGTCCCGGAGGAAGAGGCGGCACAGGTGAGCGGTGCCCCGGGAGGCATCACAAGGATGTGGACAGAGGCCTTCTGCAGGGGCCAAGGGTTGTGAGGATGTGGCTCTGCTCCATCCTCCCACTCCAGGAACACCTGCCCTGAGCCAGGCAGGGGGTGGGAGGGCGGGGGAGGAGGAGGAAGGCCACTGTTTGCAGCCCTTGCCTGCCCAGTGAGTCAACCTTTCCAGTGTCCACAGGGGTGTGGCTGTGAAGGTGCCAATCGGGGAGGCAGAAACATTAGGACCCTGATTTTGCAGAGAAAGGGCATGTCAGGCAGAAGGACCTTCATAAGCTAGGAAGGCTCAGTTGGGGGTGGAGGGAGAGGAAGTGGGCAGGCTGTAACTAGAGGTGAAGTTTCAGGAGCCAGGCCCCCAACAGGCCTGACTGCCAGTTAGGGACTGGCAGTCCCTTTAAGAGCAGGAAGGGGGAGAGAGGGATAGCTGGGAATCAGCATGTAGCTCTGAGCAAGACAGTGATTTGTTCTGGATGAATCGCGAGGGGAGAAAGTGAAAGGCAGTAACTTAGGCAGATGCAGGGCTGGGGGAGGTAGAAACAGCCTGGAGGGAGGGAAGATGTGGGGTGGTCACATCCCCACAGTTGGCATCCAAGTCAGACCCTGAGGAGGAGCAGAGTCCCCAGCCTCCTTGCTATATGGGAAGTTGCCTGAGTCGACTTGCAGGGGGAGGAGGGGAGAGCCTAAATAAATGCCTAATCCTGCTTCTCCAATTTCCCTTCTCCTCCCTTTCCTGCCTTGCCCCATTATGGACCACTGTGTGTCCCTACTGCCCCCCAGTGGTCACCATCAGCTGGCACAGTCCCTCTGCTGGTCTCATTAGTCCAGGGGACCTAGAGGTGAGCAGGGAATAGCCAGTTTCAGATGAGAGTGAGGCCCAAAGCAGGCAACATGGGTTCTAGAACCCAAAACCTTTTGACTTTCCAGACCTGCCCACCCCCTCACTCTACTCCTGTGAGAAGCATAGTCCAGTGTTTCTTAGTATCACTTCTATTTGACCAGAGAAAGAATCTTCACCCTTGGAAGAATTTAGCTGGAATCTGGTAGCATCAGGGCGGCTGGGGACTGAGAGACCTAGGGAACTAATCAGAACTTCCCAATCTTTTTCTCAAAGGCAGAAGGAGCTGTACTATGTGGTCCAACCCAGGCAACTAGAAGGAATGGGATGGTGACCCTGAATAGTCACCCAAAAGCAGAGAGAAAGCATTTCTTTCTTAAAACCCTAGTGGGCTGACCCAGGGCCAGGCCACAGTCTGAGAAGGCAGGCAAGAGGCCTCGACTAAGCCAGGAGGACCCAATCTGAAGGAACTTGGGGCACAGAAGACACAAATGAGGTGTGGAAGGGCCACCCTCATCACGATAACTCAACAGAGGGGCCTATCCCTCCAGAAAGAAAGAACAAGTCACTTTTCCTTCTGGGGCCCTGACCATATCACTTATTTCACTCCCAAAGGGAGAAGCAGTTAGGACCCAGGCTGGAGTGACCATGGGCCAGGACTTCCAGGAAATAGAAGGAGCAAGGTTTGGCTGAGTGAAAGAGATCAAAATCATGGGCTGGACTGAGCAAGTCCTCCACAGCAGGGAGGCTTGGGTCCCAGAGAGGAACACATCTCAGGTCCACATCTGGGCCCAGCCAGGTGCTGGGCTCCCCTGCCCCTCACAGCCCAGGTTCAGGCTGTGCTGTCACCTTAGCTTTTGCTTTCTGCAGATCTCGAAGCCCCAAGAGCAAAAGAAAAGAGAAGAACAAAGAGAGGAAAAGGTAAAAACCCTCCCCCTCCTCTCCAGTCATTGAGGCCCTCGCCCCTTCTCCACACAGCAAACCTGGCCTCCTAGAATCACAGAATCGGGTCCTAGGAGAGAACTTATTTTGTGACCCTTGCTGAGATGGAAAAATTCAGGCCCAGAAAGGAAGCCAAAAGCCTCCCGTGGGTCAGTCCAGGTCCTTTTGAGCTTTATCCTTGTCACACCCTCCAGTTCCTTCCCCCAAGTCAGAAGAGCACTGGCTGAGGCGGGGGAGTAAACTCTCGGACAGGGACAAAATTTGTGCGTTTGTGGATTTTTACAAGAGACTGTGGGAGGTTGGTCAGCAGTGGCTCCCATCAGGCCCTCACTGGGGCCCCTGGGGTTGGGGGGTCTGCAGAACTTAGGACAGGCTGACTTCTCTCCTAGGCCACACGCAGAGTCCCCTGGCTGCAGGTCCCATCGCCACAGCAGCGGCAGCTCCCACAGCCCCTCCCTGTCCTCTCACTACAGCGACTCCAGATCACCCAGCAGGTAGGTCCTGGGTGTGGGCAGAGGCCTCCATATGTGGTTAAACTCAGTTTACTGCTGGCTGGGGAGAAGGGAGGAATGTAGATTAAACACCCCCCAGGACTGGGGAGCTGGGACTGGGAAGAGGAGGGGGGGGGGCTTGAATTCTAAGTGTCAGGGTTCCCTGTGGGGTGGTGGGGAAGGAGAGCTGCCCTTCCTGTGAGGCCAGGAGCCCTTAGCCGAGAGGGCCTTCCATGCCAGCTCCCCCAATGTTCCCTGGCCCCAGGCTGAGCCCTAAGCACCGAGAAGACGGGCGGAAGACGGGAAGCCAGCGGTCCAGCGGGAGCCGGTCGCCTTCCCCATCTGGCGGCAGCGCATGGGGTTCGCCCCAGCAGAATGGCGGCAGCAGGCAGCGGAGCGGAGCGCAAGGAGGCCGCCTGGGCTCGGCTCACAGCCCGCCGGATGTACGTACACTTCGCTTTGCAAAGGGTTCCCGCGCCGGCGCGCGGGCTGCGCCGTGCTGGTTCTCGGGCAGGGGGCCTTGAGTGCGCAGAGGGCCCAGGCTTCACCTCGTGCATACTCCCTGCACCGAGCGGCGGGGCTGCTTGGTTGTGCCCACCTGTCCCGTGTCAGGTTCAGGGGGGCCCTGCAGGCTGGCGCCACGCCTGAGCTTGCAACACTGAAGAGAGGGCTTGGTCACCGGCACTCAACCGGTTGGGTACCCAGCTGTAGAAGAACCAGTGTCTCCTGCTTCCCGTCCCCCAGGCATATTTTGGTGGGAAGGGACTTGGAGGTTGACAGAGGTCAAAGTCAGAACAGGATTCAACCTTCCCAGGCATCACTCTGGTCCAGAGCCTCCTCTACCACAAAGCCCTTTCCCTGCTCTGAGGGCGCGCCCTCTCTCAACCCCCCTCCCGCCCCCTCCTCTCTCAGATCCCTCCCAGTCACAGAGCTGCAATCCTAAAGCCCCTGCCCTCTCTGGGCACTGGCCACACTCCTGCACATGCATTTCCATAACCATCGTTCCTAAGGCACCTCCACGGACACCCAGTGCTGCCTCGAGACCACACACCTGCACCACCCCAATAATTGTGCCCACCCATCCTCCAGAGGAACACAGCACTCTAGATGGTGATGTTAGGACCTGGTAGCTGGGTCGGCTAGGCTGGGGAGGAGGGCTCTTCCAGGCCCCAGGGGAGGCCCACCTCCCCCATGTCTGGTGACAGAGTACAGGTAGGGCCCCCCAGGGAAAGGGCTGCAGCACTGGTGGAGGCACTGGATGGGCAGGGAACTAGGATAGGCAGGCCTGCAGGTTCTTCCCCAGGCCAGCAGCAGCCTCAGCAAGGGAGCCACCCCTGCCCAGACCTCAGTCTCAGCAGCAAACATGTACGTGTTGGTCAGTTTCATTTTGATTTTTGGCTGTTTCCTTCCACTCCCTTTCTTTTCTCAAACACCGTTACTCCGCAGCTGACTCAGCGAGGAAAGCCAAGGGCAGTTGACAAAAGGCTTTTGGTTAATTTTTATTTAAGAACATTCCCAGTCCCTAGACCACACACCTGAACAGGGTACCAGACTCCTGAGCTCCAAGGCACCAGGTTGGGCCACATGGGGTCTAGATCTCTTATCCTTATATCTCTTGGAGGTGAGAGAGGACGCGCAAAGGCAGCTGTGGGCAGCAGTGGAGAGGAGCAAACCCAGAAGAGAGATTACCCATCCCCCACCCAGGGGCATAGCTTAGCAGCAGTGCCAAGCACTGTCAGGGCAACTTTGCATCCTTCTGAAAGGCACAGAAGGCAGGTTCTTGGGACTGAAGGAGACCCCTTCTCATTTCTGCTCCCCTCCCTGGCCCTGGAAGCCTGAGCAATGGCCCCTGTGCCGACAAAATGGTCACAGAACTAAGTGGACTTCAGAAGAGAGCAGTCAGGGAAGGTGGCCTAGCCACTGACCTGGGGAGGAAGCCTCGGCAGCACCCCGAGCTGAGTCCCTCCCAAAATGGGACTCCACTTTGGCATTGCCCTGGGACTTCCCTAGGAGACAGCACTTAGTTACTCCTTTCACAAAGCATGGCCCCGAGTCCTCTCCCAACCCCTTGGACCCTGGGAGATCTGGGCCTTCAGAACATCCTAGGCCTCTCACCTGACTGGGTCCATGCTGCCCTGACTGGTGCTGCCTGCCTCTAGGGAGGTGAGATTGGAGGGAGGGGTTCTGTGGACTTGGTCATTCACCAAAAAAAAAAAAAGGGTCTTTGGGGAAAGGTACTGGGCGGTGGGTATTCTTGGACTCTAGATTTGAAAAAAAAAAAGAGAGAGAGAAACAAACTGAAAAAGAAACGCTCACCGTTTTTTAACCCCGTCTATGTTTTTGTTTGTTTTTTTAGCCTCCCATTTGAAACGTGGTAATATTGTGATTCCATTTCTCCTTTAGCCGGCAAGGGAAGAGGGTGGGGGAGTTTATGTGACTTTTCCTGTTATTTTGTTTTTGTTTGTACTTCCTTTCCTTCTCCTGTTTAATTTTTTTTTCCTTTTGTAATGTACAGAAATGCAAACTATTCTCTCTGGGTTTTTTCTCTCTTCTGTGTTGTTCTAGAATTTTGCTTTTGTGTGTGTTACTGTGGGAACCTCTCCTCCTAATGCAGAGATGGTTTTGAATCTCAAGTGAACATTAATCATGTACATTTCTCTATAGACTTATTTTTCCCCTTTGTGATCAGGATTTAAAAGGGAAGATAACTCTTAAAAAAATGGCTCCCATGCCAAAAGCTTCTGCCAAATCTGCAGCCACAGCCAGCCCTCTCCTCAGCCCAGGAGCACATGCTGGAACTGTCTCTATTTTTAAATTAACAAAAGTGGTGCAGGTCATGCTTCTGTGATCCATCTTTAAAGTGCCTTGGAGAGAAGCTGGGAGACCCAGGGAGGGGAGACCCAGGGAGAGGAAGACCCAGGGAGCTTCCTATGTCTCCTCAGTTCTGTCTAGGGTGACATGGCTGCTCTGAACCTCCCATACCTTTCATACCAGGTCTCAGATCTGTAGGTGACCCTGGATGAGAGAACTGAAGTTACCTGAGAGAGTTTAGCTCACATGAGGGCTTCAAAGCAGAACACTCCCAGACTAGAGAAAAATTCCATCCTGGTCTTGAGAGTGAGGTCAGCAGAGTGGTGGCTGCCAATACATCTCTTTGTTGTCCCGTGCCAGGTCAGTGCTAGACCCCAAAGGGATTTTTGGCTTCTATTTTTACAGAAGGAAACACCAGCTCAGAGGAAACAGAACAGTCAGCTCAAGGTCACACAGCTTTTTAGAGGTAGATTCAGAAGTAGACCCCAGCCCTCTAACTTCAAGACCCCCCACACACACACACCACCCCACCAAGCTGTGGAGAGGCTGGTATATGGGAAGCATACTCTAGAAGTGCCCTCAGCAGGAGGACGATGCTGGGGCCCCTCCAGATGTCTGTGGCCCGCTCCCAGTGCTCTGCTCCTGGCACCAGGGCATGGTGGACCTTGCATCATGCAAGCTCACTCCTATGTTTGCTATTTCAGCGACTCAGGGAGCCCTCAGCCCTCACAGTTCATGTACCAATGGGGAAATAACTAGCGAAGCACAGAGGAAGGGAGCTGCTCAAGGTCACGCAATGTGGGATGGGAGACTAACATGCTGAGCAGGAGACCTCCCGGGAAAGTCCTGCCATCCACTCTATCTGGTGCCTTTGCCCACCTCCTTCCAGCTCCCAAAGGGGAAAACTGGCGCTAGCCTTGTCCTCCTCAAGGCCCTGCACACTGGCCAGCAAGGGTGTACAGGGTTTCTGTCTTAGCAGCAGGACCAACTGCCTCAGTTCCGGTTCCATCAGTCAGTGAGGGTAGCAGGGAAGGCGTGAGAGCATGAGCCCTGGGCTCTCTGGCACCTCTGCCTCTGGCTCAAAAGACCCAAGAGGATGTGCCCGAGGTGCTCCCAGGCTTCTCCCCCACCCCATCCCCAGAGAGAGCAGTGACCTCGCTGGAGTGGAACACCAGAACAGGAGGGACACCTTGACATTTCTTCCAGGGTGAAGCCAGAGGCAGGAGGGATGAATTTTACAAAAATGATGCTGAAGCCAGGGAAAAGGGCGAGGCAGGATCAACCCTCCATTCAATTGAATCTGGTTGCCTTCCCTTTTAAATGCACAGCCCCCCACCCCATCTGTCTACTCTGACTGGCTTTGTTTAAACAGCTTTGCTCTCTCCTGTCTGGGTCACCTTTCTCTCTGTCCTCTGTCCTGTCTCTCCTCGTCTCTCGGTCACTCCCTGTATCTCTCCTCCTCCCTTTCTCTCCATCTCTCTCCCCTGACAGGGGCCTCTCCCCATGCTGCCAGCCCCCTGTAGCCCACCCTGTGGTTCTGCTTCCATCAGCTGCTTCCTGCATGCCCTCTGGAGGTTTTCTGTTGTTAAGAGTTACGGAAAGCTTGACTGTTGAAGCCTGTGGGTTTAAAGCAAACAAACAGAAATGGCTGGGCAGGCCCCCCTCGCACCCCTGGGCTAGACCTGAGAGCCACACTGGCCGCCCAGGTGCTGATTCAGAGGGGGAGCGCAGCTTCGAGTCACTGTCTGGCCCCATTCTGCATTCCCAATGCGGAGACGAGACCTTCTTTTCTTTTTTTATTATTGCATTCCCGTCCCTGAGCACTGAGAAGGTAGGTACCCTGGCTCAGCTGTGCGCTCGCGCCCATCTCCAGACAAGCCCCGCCACTCTGCTTGGTTTGAATGTGGTTTTCTTTCTCTCTCTCTCAACCTTGCTCTGGTTGGTTTTCTCCCCCTCCCTTTTCTTTCTTTATTTTAGTGACAACTCATTTGTAACTTGCATTTTCTCTCAATGAGCTCAAAGCTGTGTTTCCTGGTTTGTCTTTTGGTTTTCTTGATGTTCCCTGACAACTTTTCTGGTCCATTCTTCCCGCCTCTCCACCTGCTCTGCTCCTCCTTCTTCCTCTCCATCCCTCCCCTCACCACCCAGCCCCCTTCACGCCCTCTCTTTCTCATTTTGTTGTCCGAATGCATTTCTGTGTGGTTTAGCACTCTGAGTTTGTGTTCCCCTCCTGAACTGTATGCTGCGGTTGAGCCAATTTGATTTCTGTTGTCTGGAGTAGCTGCTAAGCTCCTCACCCCTCACCCCTGCCAGCCCCCATCCCACTTGGGCAATTCACAGTGGTGGAGGAGCCTGTCCTGGACCTGTTGGCCTCCAGATCCTGGAGGAAGTCTGGCGGAGGTCAGGCTTGAGAATGAGCCCTGTCCCTCCCTCCCGGGATTTCTGGGCTCCCCTGAGTCTGGCCCTGGCCACAAGCAGAGCTTTAGGGTGGGAGCTGCAGGACTCTGGCAGCAGCTGGCACCAGGGTTGAGCTTCAGAGCTGCATCTTTTGGGTATAATGGTACTCAAACTTAGGGGGAAGGGTGATCTGGCCAGGAACAGGCACTGGATTTAGAGGGCCTACATAGTAAAGTGTCCGTAGGGCCAGGTGTGGGATGCTGGGGACTCTCAGGTCACCTGCACCTTCTTCCTGGATAACTATCCAACCCAGACAGCAGCTCCCTCAATTCCCCAGCATCCTTCCATCTTCCAAATTTGAGCTTACTATTGTCTTTTGGTGCAGAATAATCCAGAAGGACCAGGAACTAGCCCCCCACTCCCAAGTGTTGGGTGAGAACCAGGCCTAGGTCCTGGGTCTTACACTCATCCAGTCACACTGAGGATAGTAGTCAGGGGTCCATGCTCAGGGACCCCACCTCGCAGCCTCTGAACTGGGAAAAGTGCATAAATTTGGCATCCCAACCCTTTGTGAGGGCTGGGTGAGCCTGCGCCCTCAGCATAGGAAGGAGGAGACCCTGCTAGCTTCCTTCATGTTGACCCACTGGGCAGGACCTGGAGAGCTCACTCAGAACATTCTTCAACTCTGGGCAGTGCTGGGAGGACAGACAAGGACATTATCAGGGAAGGAGAAAGCATTGCTGGTCTGATGGAAGAGACTCTCTCCCAGCCTGATGGGATAGTGGCGGCCCTATTCTCAGGGACCAGAAATGGGGTCCTCATATGCCAAGTTAGAGGGGCTGTTGTCTGGGCCCTGGGAGAACCAGGGTGAAGCTCCCCACAGCTCTGTTGTTCTTGTCCTTAAGGGTATCAAGATGCAGTGAGCACCTGTCCTCGCTACTTCCTCCCTCAAAAATTCCTTATATAAGCAGCCTTGAGCCCAGGCTAGCAGGTCACAGGCATGAGCCTGGCTGTGAGGCAGAGGTTGAGAGGAGGAGGGAGAGAACTTCCAGACAAGAGGGACATCAGTCACAGAGAGCAGGCTCTGGAGATGTTTGAGGATCCCATCCATGAAACCCCAGCTATGAAACCCCATGGTGTCTAGGCTTGGCCTCCCTGCAATTCCTGGGATAAATGAGCTCCCCAAGCTGAGGTTGAGGCTCACTCTCTGGTGACTATGAGCATGAGGTCACCATCGTGACCCTGGAGGCTCTGGAGGGATAAGGGATAAGTGATTAGGGGTGAGATTGGCCTTGGGAGTCTTCCCCGCCCCGGGAAGGCTCTGCCTGCCATCCTACCCAGCAGGCCCTACCTCCCACCCTCTGCTACCCTGGCCCCATGGGGTCTCAGGCTTTCCTGCACTGCTCTGACCAACTTTCTGCAAGGGGACATGAGTTCATTGTACTCGGAAAAGAATCTTTCCACCCTATACAGGTTCACCCAGCAAAGACCCTGTTAGTCCCCATTTTACAAATGGAGAAACTGAGGCCCCAGAGTTAGGTAACTTCCTTAAGGCCCCACAGCAAACTAGCTCAGGGCTGTTTCTGGAGTGTTCCACCTTGCCAGTTACTATCTTGGGCTCTGGTAGGCCAGTTGGCTTGGAAGAGGTGAGAGGGAAGTGGGGAAGAGTTAATATCCAGATCAGCACAGGGGGTCAGGTCCAGGGGGCTGGATTCTGTGGTTGGGGGCAACAACATGCAGGGATGGGTATCCACCCAACCCAGCCCTTTTTGTTCCTAATACTCCCAGTTTAAGACAGTGGGGAATAGAGAGTGCCCGCTAGTGTCTTTAGGGAGGAACAGCATGGCCTCCGGTCTCCCTTTGCTGGCCTTTTCACTGGAGTTAGAACTAGCTGCTCAGATCCACTATCCTGGTTGAAGGCAGGATTCACATCCAGGTTCTGGTTCCCAAATTTAGTAGGGTCATAGGCAGTAGTCTGCTAGCCTTCCTGTCCCCCTGTCCAGAGTGCAAGCAAAAGCTTCTTCAAGGTGGGGTCCAGCTTCCCCTTGGGTATGGTTTACTGTGCATCAGCTTCCAGGTCCCCTCTGGCCCCATCGAGTATCTGTTCACTTTACCCTCTTGGACAACCCAGGGGTAGACCAAAAACCTGAGGATTCTGGAGACTTCTTTCTCATTTGCCTCCTCTGAGAGAAAAGGTTGCTGAGTGACAGAACCAAGTGCTGGGGCCTGGGAGCTGGGAGGTACAGACCACCTTTGGGAAGGAGGGGTGTGTGTTAGGGGAGCCCAGGGTCTCTCCTGGTGCTGTCTATTGACAATGGAATTGCCATCTCAGAGGGGCCATAACTGAACAACTTAACCCCCATCTCTCCTAGCCTAGAGTGTGGGGTACACTGATGATAGGAGGGTTGGGTGCTCAGAATGGTGCCTTGATACCCAGTGATACCCACTCTGCCCACCTATGCTGCCTCCATCCCAGAGACACCAGGTTCTGTCAGGGCCCATTTGGCTCTAGACGGATGATCTCACTGGCTGTGTCTAAGGTTCGCTGTCTGCCTCAGCCTCCAAACATGAGCTGGCTATTCTTTTCCACCAATGTGCTGTTTTCTTGCTCCAGCTCCAAGTCCAGGCTGGCTCCAGGCTTGCCCAGAGAAGCTCTTGCCCCCTCCAGGGAGCACCCAAGGCCATGCCACCAAAGCCAGGCTCCTGCCAGTCCCTGCCAATAAGGTGCCCCAAGGAGTGGCAGCTGGTTTTGTTTTCCCAACAAAAGAGCCTTGACCTTGACCCTCTCCTAGGACTCAGGGGTTTGGCCCTGGTCCTTTGAAGGGCATTTCTTCCTTCCTCAGCAAATAGTATTGAAGCCCTACTAGATGCCCACTTCTGTGATTTAAAAAAAAAAAAATGGGGGTACCAGCTGAATCCAAAACCAAATATATCCAGGAGGTGCTGCAGGTCAAGTTGGTGCTGGTGATTGGGGATGGGCTGGGGGTGGGGGTCAGCCTTGTAAACAGTGCAATCAACTATTTCCAGATGGAGGCCAAGAACTGGGGGCGGGGTCAGTTCTGTGGAGGGTAGGGTGGAGAGGGTGGTCACAAGTGCACAGACAATCCTAGAATATCTGCTCTGAAAGAGACATCAGGAAGCAAAGCCCAACCCTCTGATTTAGTGGAAGGAGAAACTGAGGCCCACCATGGGGAAGTGATGTGATTAAGATCTTAGTCAGGTAGTGACACGTTCTCAGACCCCTGGTTCCTGGCCAGGGCCCTCTTTGGTTTTCTGGATCCCAATCCTTATGCCCCAACTCCACTTTTGGAAAAAAACATTTGACATCTCTACCCAGTGGTCACCAGAGAGGTGCCTGCTGAGGAGCTGGGCACTGCCCATCCTTCCTCCAGAGGCAGCGTGGCCTCCGCTAGGCCTAGAAGGGGGTGGTTGCGTTTTTCTCTCTCTCTCTCTATCTCTCTTGCATTTTTTGTGAATCTAATGATGAACTTATGCTACCACACTTTTCCCTTCTCTTACACACCTTACCTACTAAAGGAGGAAGTGCCACTTTATTGGTAAGTGGACGTTAACCAAGAGGGACTTAAAAAAATCAGAACTTTAAAAAAAAAAAAAGAAAAAAAAAGAAAAGAGAGAAACAGAAAGACAGTCGGGCGCTACTGACAGCTCCACAGGTCTCTTCAGGGCCGGAAAACACAGAAAAATGTTAACAGAAAAATGTCAGTTCCCCAGGAGTTCAGACGTTGTTTTTGATTTTGGTATCTAATGACATTTGTGGATTTTTTTTTTTAATTTATGTTTTTCCTCCCTTTCTTCGGTTCAGTTTTAAATTCAGTTGTCCCGCCCCGCCCCACCCCATCTGTGTGCCGTGTGCCCCTCCATCCCCTCACCACCCCCAAGTGCTGGGGGCCCTGGCCTGGTGGGCTGGCCCTGGCCGGGCCTCCTCCGGGTGCCAGCCCTCTCTCTTCTCTCAGCCGGGATCGTCGGCCCCATGGGGGGGCAATGTCAGCCCCCTCGCCCATCCTGGAGTGCCCTCCCTTTCAGCCCCCCACGCCCACCGCTCCGTCCCTCTTGTGTTTTGCATGCCGAGAACCTTGCATGAGCTGCACTGTTGAGGCCAGAAGGTGGACACTCAGGAGAGGCAGAGGCAGGGCAGGCGCGGGGAACCGTGTGTGCGATGCTCCGGGACTAGCAGCCCCCGGCCTGGGCCCGGTGAAAGCCCCCTCTCCTTCTCTCCCCCCCACCCGCCCCCCCCCCCTCTCTCATCTTCCCTCTATCTCTCCGCTGTCCTGTTTTCTCTCTGCCTCTCTAACTTCTCCTTGTCTCCCTCTGGCTCTGGCTCTGCCTCTCTGTCTCTCTCCTGTGCCCATCTCTCCGGCCCCCTCCCGCCCCCTCCGTGCCCTCTCTGCCTCTCTCCGTCAGAAGCCCGGCTCGCCCTCGTCCAGGGCCCGCGACCCGGCGGAGGCGGACGCAGCCACGCCGCCCGCGCGCGGGAAGGACAGCCCCAGCCCGCGCTCCGCGCCGTCGTCCCAGGGCCGAGGAGGCCGCGCGGCGGGCGGGCCGGCCAGGCGGCGCCGGCGGCGACGGCGACGGCGGCGGCGCTCGCGGTCCTCGGCGTCCGCGCCCCGCCGCAGGGGCCGCCGGCGCGCCCGGCCCGCGCCCCCCCGGGGCTCGTCGCGCTCGCTCAGCAGGGCCCGCTCCAGCAGCGACTCGGGGGGCGAAGGCGGCGCCCCCGGGCCCGGGCCCGAACCCGGCTCCGAGCGCGGCCACGGCGGCCACGGCAAACGGTGAGCAGGTGTCCCTCCCGCGCGCCCCCGAGGCCCCCGCGCGCCCGACCTCGCCCCGCGTCCGCGACTCCCCCGCGCGCCCCGACCTCGCCCCGCGTCCACCGACTCCCCCGCGCGCCCCGACCTCGCCCCGCGTCCAGACTCCCCCGCGCGCCCCGACCTCGCCCCGCGTCCGAGACTCCCCCGCGCGCCCGACCTCTCCCCGCGTCCGACTCCCCCGCGCGCCCCGACCTCCTCCCCGCGTCCACCGACTCCCCCGCGCGCCCCGACCTCCTCCCGCGTCCGACTCCCCCGCGCGCCCCGACTTCGCCCCGCGTCCACAACTGCCCCGCACGCCCCGACCTCGCCCCGCGTCCGCGACTCCCCCGCGCGCCCGACCTCGCCCCGCGTCCACAACTGCCCCGCACGCCCCGACCTCTCCCCGCGTCCGACTCCCCCGCGCGCCCCGACCTCCTCCCCGCGTCCGCGACTCCCCGCGCGCCCCGACCTCGCCCCGCGTCCACCGACTCCCCCGCGCGCCCCGACCTCGCCCCGCGTCCGAGACTCCCCCGCGCGCCCCGACCTCGCCCCGCGTCCGAGACTCCCCCGCGCGCCCGACCTCTCCCCGCGTCCGACTCCCCCGCGCGCCCCGACCTCCTCCCGGTGTCCACGACTCCCCCGCGCGCCCCGCCGCCCGGGCCCCGCCCCCCACTGAGCCCGCGCTCCCGCGCGCTGTCCCTCCCGCAGGGCCAAGGAGCGGCCCCCGCGCGCCCGGCCCAGCCCCTCCCCGTCCCCGGGAGCGCGCGGCCGGCACGGCGGCCCGGAGGGCAAGAGCTCGTCGCGCAGCCCCGGCCCGCACCCGCGGTCCTGGAGCTCCAGCCGCTCGGCCTCCAAGTCCCGCTCGCGCTCGGCCGAGAAGAGGGCGCGCAGCCCCAGCCGCTCGCCGTCGCCCAAGAAAGCCCTGGGCTGGTGAGTGCGGCCGGGTCCCGGGCCGGGGGGCGCCGGGGGCGGGGGGGGACGCGGCGCTCACCCCGGCCTGACCCCGCAGGGACAAGGACGGCGAGAGCCGCGCCAGGCACGCCGAGGCCGAGGCCGCCCGCGCCCGGCGCCGCTCCCGCAGCTACTCGCCCATCCGCAAGCGGCGCCGGGACTCGCCCAGCTTCATGGAGCCCCGGCGCATCACCAGGTACCGAGGGCTGGGGGCCCTGGGGCTCCCGGAGGACCCACTGAACCTGAGGCGGGCAAAGTGGGGGGCTGAGGGAGAGCGGTGGGGGTCAGTGTAGGGACCTGGGAGGGCGGTGAGGGCTCGGGGCTCTTGGAGCTGCCGGGGAGCGGCGGGAGGACTTGAGAGACCCGGGCAGAGGTCCCTGGAGGGAGAGAGGCCTCGGGAAGGTAGGGTCCCCTCGGAGGCTTGAAGGCCGGTGGAGGGGAGGGCTCTGAATTTGGGTCTGGGTGGGCAGAGCAGGCATGGAGGTCAGCTCTGGAAGATTCCTGCTGCTCATCCTGGAGTCTTTGTCTCCCGCAAGCTCTCCTCATATCTGTCTCCTGGCAATGATGTCTCCTTTTCTCCTTCATCTCAAGGTCCAGCCTGCTGAGTGGCCTGTGGGCAGCCTGGGGGCCAGGTGACCCCCTCTCCACAGGCTGCAGGGGAGATGCCCATGTGAGCTGACCTGGCTCTGTTCGCCATAGTCTGTCTGCCTCTCCTTTCTTTCTAACTTCACTGCTCACCTCCCAGCCCCCTGGGGAATTTGGAGGAGGGGGCACCAGCTCTCTGGCCTCTGGGGCAGCCCTGGGAGGAGCCGTCCCTCCTACCTTGCCCACTCGGTCCAGTGGGGCTGTGACAAGGTTGTGACTGGTGGCAGAAGCCCTAAGCAGAGCTTCTCTGCCAGGATTGGAGGGTGTGGGCCTGGGTCTCCAGGTGAGATTATGGTCTGCATTTGTGGAAATTTCCCTGTAGTTCGAAATCCCTGTCGAGGTGTAGAAAGCCAGAAGGAAAATTCTGAGCCCAGCTCTGCCACAACCTTGCTGGGCAACCTTGTAATGGGGGGAGGGGGTCCCGAGGTGGGGGGGGCAGGTGCCTCTCTGGGTCCTGGTTCTCAGTTAGCAGGACTCTCAGCATCCTTTCAGCTCTAACATGTTCAGATTCTCAAACTAGCCCTTCCTAGTCCTTGATGATCCAGATTGGCACGGGAAGTGAGGGTCTTTGCCCCTCCCCCAGAGCTAGACGCTGACCCCCGCCTGGGAGACCCCAGCCCCACATATCATACACCCCACCCACATACTGGAGGACCCCCACACCTTCCACCTGGCACCCACCTCAGCCCCTCTCCCAGGCTGCCTCCTCCTCCTCCCACTAATGTACCCATTTTCTTCCTCAGAATTAATCCCTCGCGATGGGGCATTGCTGCTCCTGTAACCACTCTCTTTTCTTTTCTTGGGGTCACAGCCTCCTGGCTTCAAACTAACTGGGGGCCAGCGGTGGGAAGTAGCTGAGTGAGGAGTGGGTGCCAGCGGGTTGGGCTGGGTCTTGGGCAGGTGCAGCAGCAGCCAGAGGTCTCCCCCTTTTTCCCTTTGAGTGACCTGAAAAGCCAAAATCTCAATTTTGTGGGGAACAGAGACGCAGGGCTGGACCGTATTCACATGCAAAGAAACCACTGCTTAGCTTGGCTCATGTGAGTTGTCTGTAATTAAGTTTCACTCATTCAACAAATATTTATCGAGCACCTACTCAGGTCAGATAAATGAGGAAAAGCAAAGTAAGCAACATAAAATTGGCAGATGACCACGGGCTGTCCAATCCAGTTGGGGCAGGAGGCACTCCAAGGCAAGGGCTCAGGGGAAACTGAGGCAGGGAAGCCCTCTTGGCCGCTGTTGGGGTGGGACTCAGGGCCAAGTAAGGGCCCAGGACGGGCAGATCTCAAGGTCCTGGGTGGCCTGTAACTGATTTTTCCTCCCAACAGTGCCCGAAAGCGCCCCATCCCCTACTACCGGCCCAGCCCCTCGTCCTCCTCCAGCTGCCTGAGCAGCGACTACTCCAGCCGCAGCCCCAGCCGCAGCCCCAGTCCTGGCCACAGCCACGGAAGCTACAGCAGCCGAAGCCGAGGGACCCGCAGCCGCACGCGCAGCCCCTCCCGGACCCCCAGTCCCAGCTACCACAGCCGGAGCAGCTCAGAGAGTGGGGGCTTCTGAGTCCAGACACACCCAGCTTGGTGCCCCCTGGCACAGGAAGAGGCAAGGGGTCAGGCCTCAGGACCCATGGTGGGAGGCCCATACCCCACTACTGCAAAAAGGTCCCTGGGCCAGGGAAGACCTTGAGGGTGAGCACCCTGCAGACAAGGAGGAGCTGGATTCTGTTGCTTCTAGAGGGTCCCTACCCCCACCTCCTCCCACCCACCGTGTCCAGGGAACAAAGAGCCGCTATGAACACAGGGATCACTCTGCTCCCCCTTCCTGCTTGATGCCAGCCTACTAGGCTGGGGACCTCAGCTCAGTGGACCCAGGGGCACCTCTGAAAGTGCCAGCCCTGGGATCTTCCCCTCTCCACTCTGCAGGGCCCTCAGCTCATTTTTATTACTGGCTAACAAGGCGGGCCAGCAAGCACCATCTAAGTTAGAAGAAAGACTGGGCTAGCTCTCCGTGCGCCATAGTCCAGACTGGGGGCAGCATCCTGAATAAGCTGCAGGAGGGCCCAGACTGAGAGCTGGAGGCTGGTCTCAATGCCTCCCTAAACCCCTCCCCTGGCACAGGAGGGCTAGACTAGGCGGCCTCTACGACTAGGATGCCTCAAAGCCCCAGCCCGAGGGCCAAGGAGCTCACTCCTGGTCCCACCTTCCTAGGCCAGGATCTGGCCTCCAGCCCTCACCCCATTCCCTGGGCCAAGGCCATACCAGCCATGCCTTCTGTGTGACTAGAGGTGGGACAGGCAGACCACAACAGCATCTGACCTTGAGAGCAAACAGGACTCAGGTCAAGAGGTGTAAGAGAGAAGGGCCTGGAGGAGCCTGGGAGCAGGGAAGCAATGTGGCCTGCAGATGAGCAGTACCTGGAGTCCCAGTGTACCCAGAGCCAGGTCGTGGGCTAGTTGGCAGCACAGAGTCACAGGCATAGGGTAAAATGCACTTTGGGACCTGCCCAAGGGAGCACTTCCTCCTTGGGGTTTGGTGGTCAGCTGAGGCTTCCCAGAGTGGGGGTGCTGTAGCCCTTCGAGGGAAGGAGAGGATCTAGACCGAGGGCCTTGGCCTGGGGCATCAATGGGGAAGTAGTGGCCCCAGCCCTCTTCTGCTGCTCCCAGCCCCCTCCTCCCGGGGCCCTCAGGGATCTCACAAAGTCTTCCTTGGCCCAGCAGGGCAGATGCCCTGGGCTCCCATGGGGGGAGGGGTCTGGGGTGTGGTCCGGGTTCCCCTCTATTTCCTCCTCCCTCTTTCTCCGCGGTGCGGATAAAAATTGGACTCTAATAAAACACTCGGTGCCCGGATGGCAGGTGGTGAGATCAGGCCTCTCTGGATTTGGGCACCTGGGAGCATGGAGCTGGGATCCTTCCCTGTGAGCAATGAGAAGGGCTCAGACTCCTCGGACCAAAGAACTAGGGCTCAGTGGATCTAACCCTCGCCTCCCTCCATGCATGAATCTGGGGCGTGGAAGAGGGGTCCAAGAACACCTTCCCTGCAGCTGGGACACGCCTACACTCCTCACACACCAGGCCCGGCTTCAGGGAAAGGGCTCAGGGAGGAGGTGCCACACAGGACCCTCCCCCTCCAGGGGCCCTCCCAGAGGTCTAGGACAAGGCGCGCCCTTCCCAGCTTGGTGACACCCAGGGCTGGGGTGAAGCCCAAAGGAAAGATTGTGCCAAGTGCAGGGCACAGGGTCGAGCATAGAGCAGGTATTCGATAAAGGGTGAAATTAGGGAGCCCAACGCTGGCTGGGCACTAGAACGGGACTGAAAAGGGGAAGTCGTAGTTTTCTGAGCTGCTGGCATTAAATTTCTTTCACATAGATCCAAGCAAACACACACATTTTCCTCCTCCTCCTTTTCCTTCTCCTTTTTCTCAGTGTGGATTTTAACCCAGTGCTCTTTGGGAATCTGATGAAGGTCAAGAACACCTTCCCCAGATGAAGGCACATCCACCCATAATTCGGCATGCAGTTTTGGGTCTCACAGACACTCTAAGTCCACCCTGGCTGAGGGGACAGCTGATGTGGCCACAGCCCTGGTCTGTATGAGCCGTGGCACAGGAGATGCCCTTGGTGTGGTCTGGTGCCCAGAGCAGGGACCGCGCTCCTGACACCTATGGCTGTGGCAGCACACGTTCCCCTTCCCCCCAGTTGCTTTTCCTCCAGACTGGGGGGACCTTTGGCCAGGGCCCATGCTTCTGGTCTGAGGAAGCAGTGCAGAGAAGCCACGGAGAATTCCTGAACTCTTTACACAAGTTCAGCAAAACTGGGTCTTGGGCAAGCCGTGGGGCTTTGGGAGAGCAGACGCAGCCCTGGAACTGCCAACTCCTAGGGGGTAGGGTATGAAATCTAGCCAAAGGTTAGCATAAAATTCACCCTGTCCCCAGAGAGAGAAGAGGAATTGAGAATTCCTGTTTACTCCTTGCTACCAAATAAACCAGTTATTTCTACAAGAAAATGAAAATTCACCCCTTCTCACTCTGAGCCCACTCTGTCCCTCCCTGTGTACCCCGTTCCACTGTTTCACTGCCAGCCTGCCCCCTTCTCCTGCACCCCACAGTCAGGCTCTCCCCCAACAGTGCCACTTCTCCCTTTCTGCCCCACCTCTTTTTTAAAAAGAAATATTTATTTATTTATGCATGCAAAAACTGGGGTATAGGTCAGCAGTGCGGGGATGTGAGAGGATTGGCCAGAGACAGAATGGAGAACAAACAGGCAGACTGACTGAAATACGCTGCTGAGGGGCGCAGCGGGTGAGGCAGGAGAGGTCTACTGCACCATGTGGGTAGCTCCCTGGCCGGTGGGGATGGAACTCATGCTGCAGAGGCTGCTGATAGCTCCATAGTGCTGCGCTTAACCCCTTGCACCCACCAGGGAGGCCCCTGCTCTACCTCTGCTCCTGACCCAAGAAAAGCCCAGACACCCCACCGGGACCCCTCCCAAGCCTGTCTCCTCACTACTGGCCTGTCTCCATCTTGCCCCCTCCAGTGAACTCTATAGAAAATTCAAGTCTGACCATTGTCTGAAATTCAAGCCCACAGATGCTTGTTAAACAACCTGTGTGCCACAAGCAATCCTGTCTTTGAGAACAGGAATGGATGCAATGAAACAGAACCCCTGTGGCCCCTGTATCCTGTCCACAAGTTGTAGGCCCTGAAAGGCCCTCCAAATGCCTCCACCTGGAATTGCCAGCTGTTCTTCCTTCCCGCCCTCCAGCCTCCTTGCCCCTCACTACTAGAGATTCCAGTACACCCTAGCCCAGCTGACCCTCCTCCAGGGGCCCTCCATGTACACACTCACAGCCTCATGTGAGCTCATGGTTGGAGGCCCAGCTTAGCTGCCTCCTACTCCAAGGAGTCTTCCTGGTCCCCAGCCACTTCCCCCTGATTCCTCACCTCTGGGTCCCTTCCTACCTTTAGGCCACAAGTTCTCATTCCAGAGAGTTGTTGGCATGTCTGTCTCTCCCTATATATGTGAGTTTCTGGAGACCAGGCCATGCCTTCTTGGTCTCTGCATCCCCAAAATAGGCAGCTTTGAAATGAAGTTGAATGAGTGAATGAAGGAGCTAGAGAGTGAGCCATTCCAGAAAGCTGTGGGGTGGGGGAGGTGGGGACCAAAGGCAAGGTGTGGTGGCAGCAGGGAGACACTAGGTGGCGACAGGGTGAGGGAAAACTGCTAGCTGGTGCCCTGCCAGTGAAGGGGCATAAAACCAAGAGGAAAGCCCCATGGAGGGTCCTTCTCCCCTTCCTCCTCAGCAACCTCCCTGGCTACTTGGGGAACCAGTGCCTGTTCCCTGAGGGAGCGGGGAGGGTACCAGGCCCCTGTTCCTCCCACAGACTCTGGGTTCAGTCTGTGCTCTGTACCTTGGGAAAAGGGAAAAATACTGCCAGGAAGGCAAGCAGGAAAACAGGAAACTCCAATTCCACGTCAGGTAGCAAGGAGTGGGGGAGGGGCGGGGATAGGGACTTTGCCAGGATATGGCATTTAGGGTGCAATAGGGCCTCTCATGGTCTCTCTCGCCATAGACGGGGTCCACAGGGACACCCCCATCCTTCCCCTCCCAACCCACACAGCAGCCAGAAGGCTGACAGGACTTTCTGTGTCCTGGTTCCTGGTGCTGTTTCCCCTTCTTCTTAGTTGGTTTCCTACCACCCCAGACCCAGAGTAACAAGTCACAGGTGCACATGCCCAGTGTGGGTGTCCCAGCTGGTGTCCCCCATCCCCTGGTCTTCTGCCTGCCGCTCTCAGCAACCCAACCCTATTACCAGGCGTCTGTCCTCCAGACCGCCCTCTGCCTGAGGAAGGCTCTCAGGAGACCCAAAAATGAGGAGGTGCTCCAGCTGTGGGGTCTCCCACCTCCACCACAGGGAATATCATACCTCCACGTCCTCACTCACCCCCTGCCTCCATACCACACACACACACACACACACACACACACACACACACACTCCCAGTAGCATTAGGTTGGAGGGAGGCTGGGGGGGCAGGGAGAAACTTGATTCACTGAGCTGGAAGGAGGCTTCGAGAACATCCAGTCCAATGGTCTCATTGTACAGATGAAGAAAATGAGTCACAGGAGTGGGCCCCTGGCCAAGGTCGCAGAGTCAAAGACATGCAGGTCCCCAGACTCCCAGGCTAGAGAGATTCTTTCTTCTCCATGGCAGGGCGGGAGGGGCAGGAGGATGGATCCTCAGCCCCCCCACCTGGCTCTCCCTTAGCCCCCCTTCAGGGGTGATAAGAGTGAGGTGACCCCAAAGACCAGCCAGAAGCCAGAGATGTCTAAGGGGTGGACAGGAAGGAGATGGGTTTTAGAAATTGACTCCCAAAGGGGTTTCCAGAAAGACCCATAGCCCCCACCTCCTAATTACTGCTGCCCACATTTTCAGTTCCCAGCAGGCCAAATGAACTGCTTGATTCCATCAGCTGTCAGACTTCTCTGGGGAGCTCCAGCAGCTGCCTGAAGATTCTCGTGCTTTCTCTGTGACTGAGCCAGCAAGGGAGTGGCTGACTCAGCCGCAGTTGGCAAAGGCCTGTCAAGGGTGTGGCTGGTATAGCCAAGGCCTTGGGCACAGTGCCAGGAGAGGAGGCAGAGAGGCTGGTCTTGGGGCTGTGACAGAGTACCCCAGACTTTGGGACTAGGGATGAAGGGATTCCAATGAGGGAATCCCAGACTCTGCAATTCCTACCTCCCCTACCCCCTTGAACCCCAAGGCTTCTGGGAAATCCCTGGGGGTGGAGTTGTCCTTTTAACCCCAGAAAAACTACCCCTGGCAGCCCAGTGCCTGGGATGCCAGAGCCAAAATTATCAACATTTGGGCAGGTGGGCTGACATTCAGTCCTTGCTACTCTTGCCAAGCCCTATGCCTGGATATGGGGTGCACCCCCCTACAGGAAGAGGGCCTGGTCAGGGCTGAAAGGACCCCAGAGAGCCCAGTCCAACCCTCCCTGTCCAGAAAGGCAACCCCTGGCTTTACTCCTTGGCCTGCACCCCTGCAGTCCACAGCCCTCCCTGTACTGCAGGGGAGTCTCTGCCCTGCTGGAGGAGGAATCTGGAGGAATCTGAGTTCCAATCTCTCCCACCATTTACCAGCTTTGACACCTCAGGACAGTTCTGACCTCAGTTTTCTCATCTGAAAAATGGGGCTTTGATAAGATGCTTCAGTAAGATACTTTGAAAAGCACATACAACTGGATGGTTCTCATTAGGTCAAACCTCGTATCCAAAATTAAAGGTTTGCTCCCCTTAATCAGGATGAAAGATCACTCACTGAGCAGCAGTCACTTCACAAGCATTATTGCACTTGAGATTCCCCACACGCCTGCAAAGTGGGTGTGTCATTAGTCCCTTTTGCAGATGGATACATGCAGGTTCAGAGAGGTCATCAGGCCAGTGACCAGCAGCACCTAGATTCAACCCAGTCTTGCCTGACCACAAAATCTAGTTTTTCCTGCACCCCCACCCCCTTAGTATCAGAGCTACCCATGTACCCTCCCTTGCGATTGTCAGGGTGATTTAGGAGTCTTCCTTCAAGAACAGCTCCACTGAAACTGATGTGACTTCTCGTTCTGCCCCCGCTCCTTATCCCCGTGTATGTTGGGGTTGCTGCGCCTGGGGTTGCACAACTTCCCCTGGCTGGGGCAACAGGGCTGGATCTTCCCCACCCTCATCCCAGATGAAGGGAGCTTGTGTCTACAAAGCGCTGGCAGCAGGCAGGCAGCCCCCACCCAGAGCGTGGCTGGGCCTGGCAGGACCACACTTGAAAGCATCTGTGACCACACCTGACAGCTCTCTCTAGGGTGGGGTGCCTTGACTGTGCCAAGGTGGGCAAGCAGGGGCAGATGAGGGCCCTCCCGCTCCTGACCTCATCCCGACTTTATAGAGCTGACCTCACCTTTACTTTATGATGGATTTACAGAGGGGCAGGGAGTGCCCAGGAGTGAAGGCCCAGTGCCTCCTGAAGCTGAGACCCTTGAGGGGTGGCCAATAGCTCCCAACTGAAGCCCATGGGGCTCAGGACATGATCCAGCAAAGGAGGTGGGGCAGAGGCGGGGGTCTTATCTGACTCCTACATTCAGTTCTCAAAAGTCCAAGGAGCTCAGAGGCCTTTCCAGAGATGACCTGGATTTGTGGCCTAGCCCTAGATCTTTCCTAATTGGGGGTGGGGGGTGGGGAAGCATCTAGGATCTCTTGAAATAGAAACTGAGGCTCAGAGAGGGCATGAGACCCATTGTTAGCTCAAGGAGGTGAGTGGCCTGCAATCTGGCCTCCAGCCCCTCAGGTGCCCTGGGTAGGACAAGGCCCTTGTGGCCTGGTTGTCATCACCCTCAGTCCAGCTCTGGGAGAGGGGCAGCAACAGAGCGGATCTCAGACAGCAAGAAGCTGGAGGGATCTCATGAGGGTAAGAGCCCTGGGCACTAGAGGGGCAAGAGGCTTGCTCTGCTAACATCTTACTAGAGATGGGGCTAGTCACCTAATCTCTTAGAATCTGTTTCCTCATCTAGAAAAAAGGGATAACAGGACCTAAGTCTGAAGAAGGAAGGCTGGACAGCGTCATGCCTAGGAAGGCAGGAGAGAGAGGTTAGGCTTATGGCAGGAGTAAGGACAGCACCTCTCCCAGAGTTGGGAGAAGGGGACCTGCATCCCACCGGTGGCCAGATAGAGGAGGTGGGGCCAAGGGGTGGATCTCCAGCTTCAAGAAGTTTGAGCAAATTATACCACTTGGAGTCTCTGCTGTAAAAATCAGAAACAAAGGAGGCTGTGAGATCATAATTTGCAGAAAGGGAAATAGAGGCCTAGAGAAAAGAGGGGACTTGCCCCAAAATCACAGAGTCAGTGAAAGCCTAGACTAGATTCAAGGTGGCTGTATTTCAGGGTCCCTGCCCAAGGCTGCTCAAGAAAAGATAGCAGTAATGGAGAAATTTGACTTGACCTTCCCCCTGACACCCCCCAACACGGGGCCTCCAGGTTTCTGGTCTGGGCCAGCCTCACTGCTGGGGGTAGTGGCAAACAGCCAAATGCACACTTGTCAGCACCTCTGCCACAGAGATACTACACACTCTCCCTCCTCCCGCTG